CATGTATGTTTGTATGTATGTATGCATGTATGTACGCATGTCTGTGTGTATGTGTGTATGTGTGTATTTATGCATGCATACATGCATGCATGTATGTATGTATGTATGTATGTATGTATGTATGTATGTATGCAGATATATAGGTATATACTCACATATACATAAACATACACTTGCATATGTATATATATATATATATGTATGTAATATGCATATGCCATGAACATATGCATGCAGATATGGTACCTGCCCTCCATATGTAGCTAGGGACCCGCTATACAGGTCGCACTCGTCCTCAAGATCCTTGGGTTTTGTTGCCGTAGCTGCCCGCCCCAAGTAGGCCTGCTTATCAGCCTGAGCAATGCCCTCCACCAAAGTCTTACACGACCTCAGCTGCTACATAGCGCTAAGTATGCAAACTTAGTTTAAACACGAGACACACCACACATACGTGTCACACACATGAGAGAATTGTGAAGCAAGGGGCTTCAGGGAGTCTTGGCGCAAGATCGAGGGCTTCTTGTCCGGGGTCGTCTCATCATTGAAACTCTTCCACAAGCTCTTCTTCTGGGGCTCCTACAGAACATAACTTAATCATAGTCAGAAATCATGCTGGTTTACTCTTTATATAGAACCCTATGCACTCGTACACAATCACCCCGCCTCACCCAGAACCACAGTCGTTGCTTCTGTCAGAGAACGAGTAAACTCCGGCTTTGGGGCCTCGGCCTTTGCGGGTTCAGGAACCTTTGGGGCATCCGAGGGGTCGGGGGATTTGTCACACTCGTCCTCCTGTTCCTCATCCTCACATTCCTCCTCGGCCTCGCCTTCATCATCGGTCTCGTGAAGATGATTGTCATCATCATCGAACTCCCCTTCACGATCATCACCTTCATCCTCTAGCTCCTTTGGCTCCTCCTCCTCCTTCTTAGAGTCCTCAGCCTGAGCATCCTTCTTAGAGCCCTCAGCCTTAGAGGCCTTAGCCTTAGCCTCAGCAGCCTCTCTCGCCTCCAAGGATGTGGCGAGCTTCTGCACGTCTGGCAGCAGCTTCTCAGGACAGGGGCCAAGGCATTCAGTCAGGGCTTGCTGCACAGTGGTCGGGGTTTCCACTGGGTGGGCACTCTTGATTTTTTCGTAAACCTCCTGATAGTTGCTCCAGGAGACAGTCATGCCTAGCTCCTCGTCAAAGAAGTCCTCGACTTTGTCATCCTCCTTCGGCTTGGTCTTTGCTGCTTTGGCTTTCGCCTTACCCTTTGCACTGCCCTTGGGTGCCCCACGCTTGTTGCTTTTGGCTGTGGCCTCCTCCTTTGGCGCCTCGGTTTCCTTTGCTCCTTTCTTGGTGTTGGTTTCCTCTGCTGGCTCCGGCTCCTTGGCCTTTGCTCCTTTCTTGGTGCTGGTTTCCTTTGCTGGCTCCGGCTCCTCGGCCTTTGCTCCTTTCTTGGTGCTGGTTTCCTTTGCTGGCTTGTTGCTGCTGGTTTTGGGCTCTGAGTTCTCCTTGTCATCGCCGTTGTCCTTGCGTGCCCGTTTGGTTTTTGGCTCCTCCACAGGGGCCAGCACTTGCTTCTTTTGGAGACTCTTCATCACATCTTCGTACTGTGCCCGCTGCTCGGGTGTGAGCTTCTTTTCTGCCTTCTTGCCCATAGCGAGTAACCGGTAGCTATAGGGATCCAAACAGCTAGTAAATGTGCTGCAGAAGCCAACTGTGAATTCACAAGTAGAAAGGTATACCCAATCACAGAATCTTCACAAAAGAGCTGTCCTACATGTGAATCACACCATTTTCGTGAATCACGTGAATCACGTCGCCAGGTGTCCGGGGCACGTTCCCGCACGCACGGGTAACGTTTTTTCACGCGTACTGCGGGCCATGCCGCTGCTAGCTTAATTAGACACATTCACACGTGAAAAGGCTCGCCACGGCTCATAGCAGACCCAGCTTCTTGAAAGTGCAATCCTAAGTTCACGGCCCACGTTTGCTACTTAATATGGTTTAATGGAATACATCCTGGAATCAGCCCTAAGCCCTTTATTTGAGCACAAGCTTCCCACTGGCCAGGAGCATCCACGTGCTTGGAGTTCAAGTACTTGATGACCGACTCCATGCCAGCCTGTGCTGCAGATGGTGATTCGGGGGGTTTTCTGGTTCGGGGGCTTCTTCAGGGAATTTGGAGCTTGATATAAGCTGTTTATACGTGGGTTTAGGGTTTAGGTTTTCACGACAAAGCTAGTGTGTAGGGATCAACCTATAAGCTAAGTTTGCTTCTTAGAGGGGTCTGCGGTTCCCTATGCGACTTCGTGAAGTTCTCCACAGCCTGGTCATATATTGGTACGTCAACCATACACCAACTATATGATCGATGTATATATATATATATATACCTACCTACCTATATAGACCTACCTACCTACCTACCTACCTACCTACCTACCTACCTACCCACCCACCCACCCACCTACCTACCTACCTACCTACCTAGCTACATATGTACATGCATACATACATACGTATATATATATATATATACATACATATATATATATATATTTATATAGATAGATTATCCTCATAGAGAAATACACACATATATGCTCCGATTATCTACAGGGACTAGACCTTGGCTGATAATATAATATACAGCAATATGTCTAAATATAATAAATGAACATATATATATATATATATATATGTACGCATGTTTGTATATGTATGCGTGCAATGTGTGTTTGTACGTGTGCACGTATGTGTGCATGCGTGCTCGTGTGCGGGCATTTATATACATATATATATGTATATGTATATATACACATGTGCATATGTATATGTATATGCATATGTATGCATGTATGCATGTATCTACTGCATTGTCGTGCATTGGATTGTACTGTACTGTACTGTACTGTACTGTACTGTATTGCATTGTATTGTACTATATACCCACGAATGAGATTTAAGGATCACTAAGGACTAACAACGATCGTGTATTCAAGTCACTCTAGCACCGGGCCGGCGAGACGACATCCGGGTTGCGTCGTTGGGGCTCGATTGTGGCGGTGTAGGACATAGGACTCGGGTTTATGGCATTCAGCATCTGAGTTGCTTTACATAAGAAGTGTTCGTGAATTGGGTCAGTAGGTAAGTAAATAATAGGTAGGTACGTAGGTAGGTAGGTAGGTAGGTAGGTAGGTAGGTAGGTAGGTAGGTCGGTAGGTCGGTAGGTCGGTAGGTCGGTAGGTAGGTACGTAGGTAGTAGAGGCAGCACCTCAATCCCCCAACCCCTCAAGCCTAAACCCAAACCCCGAACCCCTAA